AAATAAAATATTCTTTTGGATTGTTACTTGATTCATGTGTGCATTCATTCATTTGGATTAAGTTAGTGCTTAGATATTGTATACCTCCCAAATAAAACAAAACATAACTTAACATTACTTTTTGGAAATTAAATGTTAACATGCTGAAAATTTTGATCCTTTGTTTTCAAGCTTGCACAAATTAAAATAAAAATCCATCTTCCCTTTATTTTGAAATGGGAAGATGATCCTAATGAAGACGACTGTAGATAATGTGAATAAAAAGCAGAGTTAGAAGGCTTGTCTGAGGATAAAGACCTTTTTATGTATACGGATAATCATAATTATCTGGCTGTTCAATAGCACATTCACCTGAATACTGACAGAAGGTTCATAGAGGTGGTTCTGACATGAGGTGCAAGCTTTTTTTCATCAGTTATTTCACATGATAATCTTCTTAATTAATCAATATGTTTGAGGTCATTTCTATAGACACAAAGTCCTAATATTACTCACATTTTGGAATGAGCTTGCCATTGGGATAGTCTAAGGGTGTAAGTCAAATGTACTGACCTGAATAACAAGGTATCTTTGAGGGTCTCGAGCCATCCTTGAAAATTCAGCAGCCAGTTCCTTAAATTTAGGTCTACTGTCAGCATCAATCATCCAACCTGGAAATTTACACACAGTAAAAATGTCAGTGTATCTATAATTAGAAAAAAAGAAGAGACATTTACATTTTTTGGAAATATAGGCTGAAGATCAAAAAAATTATCTTTAAATCATCACGATCTGAAAAATAAAGCTAGCAAAAGACACAATCCAGTGGGTAAGACTTTGTCAATCTGTTTGTTACTATTCATAATTAAATGTCACATACTATGTAATAACAGGTAGAATTTTCACTTTGTTGTTCTATTTTTAACATTTCTTTTTCTTCTTAGAAACTAGAACCCATGATAACTATGGGAATTTATAAAATTCTGGTCTTTTTTTCTTTGGTTTGGAGATAATTTTTGAAAACTTTCTTCAATAGTTATAGATGAAATGACTAGAATATAATGTGTCATGTCGTATCACAAGTGATATGGGAGAAAAGATTTGGTTACAGTGCTGTGCAAAACAACTTTCTCATGCTAGATTTGTCTTGGTTGGGGAAAAAAACCCCAAA